CCCACACACACACTGCTAGCCTGGTACACACAGACCAGGCACCCCAAATCCACAGAACTAAACATACACCTAGTCTTCTCACACCCTCCACAGATGCATCAAAGTATTCCTCTAAACCAGTGGCCGGCAAACTATGGCTTGCGAGCCACATGCGGCTCTTTGGCCTTTTGAGTGTGGCTCTTCCACAAAATACCACGTGCGGGCGTGCATGTACAGTGCGATTGAAACTTCGTGGCCCATATGCAAAAGTCAGTATGTTGTGGAAGAGCCACACTCAAGGGGCCAAAGAGCCGCATGTGGCTTGCGAGCTGCAGTTTGCCGACCACTGCTCTAAACAAAGCTACCAGTCACATACATTACCTGTATAGAAAAATTCCTCCACAAACACATATATGCCACCTACAGACACGTCCATATATACCCAAAAAACATGTGGACATGGGCATGCACACTGATGTAGACACACCTGTGCATGAGCATGCCTCCACATGGCTATAGCTCTTCACCTCTACATGCCTCCACATGGCTATAGCTATTCACCTCTATAAGTGCACTATGAGGCACTTATACAAGGACACATACACAGTTATACCATTCACATTTGTGCACCTATACAACTGCAGACAGCTGCACAGAGGCCCACCCACAGCACACAAACCTTTCCACCCATCCACAGACACCAAGATACAGATGTACACACAAACACACACAACAAACAAACACACGCCCTAATCGGTTTGGCTCAGTGGATAGAGCGTCGGCCTGTGGACTGAAGGGTCCCAGGTTCGATTCCGGTCAAAGGCATGTAGCTGGGTTGAGGGCACATCCCCAGTGGAGGGTGTGCAGGAGGCAGCTGATCGATGTTTCTCTCTCATCAATGTTTCTAACTTCTCTATCCCTCTCCCTTCCTCTCTGTAAAAAATCAATAAAATATATATTTAAAAAAAAAAAAAACAAAAAACAAACACAACACCTGCCAAACCTGCACAGAGATAGGCAGGCATAGACTTCGGCCCAAATGTACACACCTGAACATACCTATACCTAGTTCACACCTGCACATACACCTTCCCTGGGGATACCACACAGACACCAATCCTAACACTGACCCACAAATACTTCTACACATGCCCAGCCCTGTCTAGACATTCACTAATTCACATACACACATACCACAGAACTTGTTCCTGCCCCTGCCATGTCTATTTGTGCAGTTGCCACTTATCACAGCCGCTAGATGAAAGACTCTTTCAGAGCCTTTTCAGTTTTGTTTTGTTTTAACGTCAGGATAAACATGGTCCAGGTGTGGCTCTGATCTGATGCTGTCAGTGACCCTCAGAATAAAAGTGTCACTGTTCCTACCTCCGGTACCAGGAGGCTCCACTTCTCCTCAAGGCAAGCCATCCCACTTCTGTTCCGCTCTGCCCAGTAGTAAGTAAGCTGAGTGTACCTGTGTGGCCACTGCACACTGGACCTAGAAGGATCTTCTCCCTGTGGCAATCCTGGAGATCCATGGATATAGTGACCGCTCCCCCAGGGTCCCCCTTTTCTTCTTGAACGTCCTGTCTTTCTGACCCTGTGCCATGCCATTTGTCATCCTTCAGTGGGCTGATGACTTCTGCACAAATGTACCCCACCCTCTCATTCTCTCTAGCCTGCCCCTTGCCCTTCTCTGTACCTTTCACTCCTGCTTCCCCTCTGCCCCTGCCCCACCCAGCAAACATGGATGGTACTTACCTCCTCTGCCAGATCCTCCTCAGATTCCCCACTCAGGGTCTGGAGCACTTTGGATTTGTAGGTTTTCCAGAAGGCCTGGCTCATAGCTGCAGGGGAAACGGGCCTGGTGCCCAGGTACAGGAGGCAGTGGCTCAGAGGGCATCCAGTGGGTCTGGCTTAGGAACTTGGTGAGACCGAGAGCCTGTCCCAGGGATCTGGTGACTTCATTAAAGATGCACCAGCCTCCCAGCTGGCACAGTGCCCAGCAAGTGAACGGATCCAAAGGAGTCTAGGGTGGGGGTGGGACAGAGCGGGCTTCTGCCACCTCGGCCCCTTGCCGTGACCCACATTGGCCAAGAATAATAGCGACGTCTCCCCACAGAGGCCTCCTTCCCAGGAGTACTTGAATTTGATCTCTTGGAATGGCTCCAGAAAAGTCCTCTTCCTTTCACAAAGTCCATTTCCAACGTCCTTGTCCCCGGACCCACATTGGCGCCCCGGTGACTATAGCCATACCTGCTGCCCTCAGCAGGGCCCTGCCCTCTGTCCCCACTTAGCCTCTGTGAATTGGTGTGGGAAGGTCCCAAGTGCCCCAGTCAGTGCCCTGGGCTTACATTTCACTGCTTTGTCTGGGCTGGAAACTGATTCCTCTCCCCAGGGATGCACGTGCCTGTCTCCCTGTTTCCTGGCAACAGGTTCCAAAGAGCTGGAGCCCCTGAATTATTGCTGAGCTCCTCTGGTCGCCTGGAAGGCACCAGGCCCAGGTGAGTGGGAAAAGGCTTCTCGGCCCTCTCCCTACTCTGAGCACACAACACCTAGGCTAGCCGTGGGCAAACTACGGCCGGCGGGCCGGATTCAGCCAGTTTGAAATGAATAAAACTAAAAAAAAAAAAAAGACCGTACCCTTTTATGTAATGATGTTTACTTTGAATTTATATTAGGTCACACAAACACTCCATCCATGCTTTTGTTCCGGCCCTCCGGTCCAGTTTAAGAACCCATTGTGGCCCTCGAGTCAAAAAGTTTGCCCACCCCTGACTAGGCTGTATCTCTCTCTGCCTTTGTTGCCAGCCCACGCAGGGCAGTCCAGGGCTCAGAGAAAGGGGGCAAAGATGGGAGGACCTCTTCTTGTGGAAGGAGCTGATCGCTCTTAAGTCCGACACTGCCTGAGCACTGTGATCTCTGGGGAGGAACACCCCTTCCAATCTCCCATGTGGATTTGTCTGGGGGTGGGGGGTGAGGGGTGGGGGGTGGATAAGGAATGGACACTCGAGGGAATAACTGAGGAGCCGTGAGAGGGGCAAGGATTGGTTAGGGAATGGAGGCATCTCGGGAAGCCTTATGGGGACCGGAATCCCAAACTTATTCAATTTATTCACATCACAGATATTTTTCAGTGCCTCCCGGAGATATTTAAAACATGCCCCGCCTCCACCGCGGAGTCTAAGATGTGGGAACCGGGGAGGAGAGACGGGGCCGGAGGAGAGACGGGGCCAGAGGATAGCGCTGAGAGGTGGTGCAGGGCGGGGTAGGCAGGGCAGCGGGACGCCCAGGAACCCCCACGGGCATGCACCACCCCACCCCTCTCCAGCGGCACCCGCCAGGCCTCCTGACGCCCTCTGGTTGGGACACTAAGTTGGGCTCTGCCCCGGGCTCCGTCACTGACACACTTGGCCGCCTGGGGTCGCTCAAGGCGCGGTCCGCGCCAGTGACGTCATCAGCGGCAGTCCGGCCGAGCCGGCCCGCCCCCGGGCGTCACGTGACGTCACTCAGAGTCCGGAAGCGCGCGCGCACGTGAGCTTCCTCCTTGGCGCCAGCCCTCGGGCTCCGCTGCCGCCGGCCATGGGTCGCTCCCGCCGGACCGGCGCGCACCGGGCGCACTCCCTGGCCCGCCAGATGAAGGCGAAGCGGCGGCGGCCGGACCTGGATGAGATCCACCGCGAGCTGCGGCCCCAGGTTCTCCCACGGCCCCGGCCGGACGCGGGTGCCCAGCCAGACCCGGACCTGCCGGGGGGCGGCCTGCATCGCTGCCTGGCCTGCTCGTAAGTCCCGCGGGCCGCCTCGGGAGGAGTAGGGTCCGTGCCCTGGGCCGGGGCTGTGGGGTCCGGTCCCCCCCGGGCGCGCGGGGTCTGCGGGCCTCCTGTCCCTTCCGACTCAAAGGGAATGAGCGGTGGTCAGGGAGCTAGACGTCCCCGAGAGACATCCGGTACCTGCTCACCCTCCTTTACCCGCACCCCTGCAGGAGGTACTTCATCGACTCCGCCAACCTGAAGACCCACCTCCGATCCAAAGACCACAAGAAAAGGTATGGAGGAGTAAGGCGGGGGTCGAGGATGGGTGTCTGGTTGACAGGGCGCCCATCTGGGCAGCTCCCACCTCCTTTTTTCCTCCCCCCCAGGCTAAAGCAGCTGAGCGTGGAGCCCTACACTCAGGAAGAGGCTGAGAGGGCAGCGGGTATGGGCTCCTATGTGCCCCCCCAGCGGCTGGCAGTGCCCACCGAAGTATCCACTGAGGTCCCTGAGATGGACACGTCTACCTGACATGGCCCGCAGGTGCAGGGCAGAGCCGCCGCCCACGGACAGTGATGCAGGGCTAGGCTGGAAGGGACTGTGCCATCCTTTTTTGGCCCTGAGTTTGCAAGTGGATGCCCTCCGCTCAAATAAAGGAACTGGATAAAGAGTGCTTGCTTCTGACTCCCCAGCCTCCAGGCCTTCCCCAAACTCCTGCCCTTAAGGATTTCTCTGCCACTCTTGTGTGCAGGCGTCAGGGTGTCTATTCCCTACTTGGTCCAGCTGTGGAACCTGCATCCTTGCCTGGAGCCACCAGGCAGAGCCCAGGTACAGTGGGGGTGGGGGGTGGGGTAGAATCAGGTTTATACGGCTCTGCTTCCAATGAGGGCAGAAATGAAGTGGGACCCCAAGATTGCAGTCCCTGCTGAGTTACCTACCGCCGGGGCCCAGGCGACAGGCTGCCCACTTCGTCATGGGGCGGTGGCTGTTGTCCCACCATCTTCCAGACAGCATAGCAGGAGCCACCCAGTCCAAGGACAGCCAGCAGTGTAGCCACAAGCCCAGCCAGTGGACTCTGGGGCTCTGCCTTCAGCTCCCCGGCCACCTGCATCTGCGGGTGTACAGAGGGTCCACCTGAAGGGGCTGAGAGGCACAGCTGGGTGAAGGAGAGATGGCCGCCATTGCTGCCCCAGGGAGATTCCACCCTAGTTCCTCTCGCTTCAGTGCCCATCTGGGTCCTGGCTGCTCAGGCGGCAGGGAACGTGACAACATTCCCTGGCTGTTGGGGCCCACAACCCCGTCACAATAGGGGGAGGAAGGGGTCGGTCCCAGAAACCATGAGTTAGAGGTACTTACCTGTAGCACCCGGAAGTAGCCAGGGGTCAGGCGTCGCAGTCGCATGGTGGGTGCCACTCGTCTCCCTGGCAGCCTGCGGGGTGTAAGCAGAAATGAGGACCAGTGGTGCTCTTGGTATGAAGAAGTGGAAATATGAGGGCAGAGAGGTTCCTGACCTCTCATAGCCATGGCCTCAGAAGATGCTCACCAGAGTCTGCCCTCCCAGGTCTGTCAGGGGGTGGGGCAGCTGGACCTTTAAATCTGGTCCCTTCCCCCGCCTGCCTGCCCTGCCAGCCTTAGGAGCAGCTGTCAGGAGAGATCAGCATCAGGCCTGAGCAGCACCTCCCCCACCCACCGGGTGTGCAGGCTGGGTAGGCGGGAGAGGCCTTGCCTGACAGTGCTCAGGCTTCTTAGGCCTAAACCAGGTACTGGGAGGACCTCTGCAGCCCTGGTCCTGGCCCTTGCCTACCCCAGATGATTGGATGTCACCTATCAGCTCTCAGCACAGGTGGGAAAGGGCACCTTACCCCCCCGCCACAACAGTGTCTCTTTCATTTGGTTTGGGTTAGATCAACCACACCTTGGGAGAGGGCACACATCACCCCTTTCCCCAAGATGGAGTTCCTGCAAGGACTTTCCTACCCTCAGCTTGAAAATAAAAGATTTGTATATACCGATTTAAAAAGTTATTATTTTTTAGCACATTATAGAAAGCAGTATTCTAAGTAGTTTGCATATATTATTTGGCATTAATTATCTCATAAAATGAAAAAGGCTTATTGACAGAATAGTATATAGATTGATTATCTACATATATAGAGAATGGAAGAACACCCAGCAAATCTAACAGTGGCCCCCACTGTGTAATGGGCTAGGGATATGCTGGGGAAAGGTTCTCCTTTTACTGAATGACCTACTGTTATGTAATGACCTTTGAAATTTTTACAGCAATTGTGTAGAAAGAACTTTTGTTAAATTCATAAACTAACTTCAAAATAGAAGCTGCTGCCCTAGCTGGTTTGGCTCAGTGGATGGAGCGTTGGCCTACGGACTGAAGGATCCCAGGCTCGGTTCTGGTCAAGGGCACATGCCCAGGTTTCGGGCTTGATCCCCAGTAGGAGATGTGCAGGAGGCAGCTAATCAAAGATTCTTTTTTTTTTTTTTTTTTTAAATATATTTTATTGATTTTTTACAGAGAGGAAGGGAGAGAGATAGAGAGTTAGAAACATCGATGAGAGAGAAACATTGATCAGCTGCCTCCTGCACATCTCCCACTGGGGATGTGGCCGCAACCCAGGTACATGCCCTTGACCGGAATCGAACCCGGGACCCTTCATTCCGCAGGCCGACGCTCCATCCACCGAGCCAAACCGGTTTCGGCCAAAGATTCTTATTATTGATGTTTCTATCTCTCTTTCCCTCTCCCTCTCCGAAATCAATTTTACATATATATATATATATATATATATATATATATATATATTTTTTTTTTTAACTGCCTTTATTATGCCCCTAACTGTCTACTCCTGCCAGGTGCTAGAGGCAGAGTATAGACACTATTGTGGTTATTAGGCCCCCAGTCCTTCTAGGAGAATATGTGGATACAAGTGGCGAGTTCTTGTCTGTTTCTCCCCTACAGGATTGTGAGTTCAGGGAGGGCAGAGGCTGGCTGGCTTCTCACTTCTATGTCTTTTGCTATCTCAGGGTAGGCGTTTGATAACATCAGGATGGTGGAGATGGAAACGTGTTTATTGGGCTTTCCCAGACTGCCACAGGGAGACTATTGTAGGAAGGAAGAGGGGAAAAAACCGAAACATTAAAGTGGGACTCAGCATGGAGGAGGGTTGGAGGGGACACATAGTGCAGGGTGTGAGAATGTGAGTTGAAGGACAGTCAGAGAGGTGAGGGCCATGTTGCAAATCTGAAGCCTACTGGTTCACAAATGAGGGAGCTAGACCTGCGGGGACCTCATGAGATGGGCGTAGAGGACTGTTATTGAACCCATTTTCAGAAGCGGAAACTGATCCTTTGAAGGAAGCAATTGCCTGGTCTGTACTTGTGTTTGATGCCACATATGAAGATGGGATGGAATCAGAAGAGCTGACCAAGTTCCAGAGAACTCCATTTGTATGTGAAATTATTAAATGGCCCTGACTGGTTTGGCTCAGTGGATAGAGTGTCGGCCTCTGGACTGAAGGGTCCCGGGTTCGATTCTGGTCAAGGGCACATGCCTGGGTTGCAGGCTCAATCCCCAGTAGGGGGCGGGCAGGAGGCAGCCCCCTCTCGTCATTGATGTTTCTATCCCTCTTCCTTCCTCTCTGAAATCAATAAAAATATATTTTTTAAAAATTATTAAATGATGGCAACAAACACACACAGACTACATGGACCAAATTCAGACTTAAGGTCTTGTTAACAGGCAAAATAGTAATAGGCTTTGAAGGCTGGGTTGTGGGGCACTGGTAGAGATTTCAAATTAGGTGGCACCATCAAAGGGGTAGGCTCTAGGAAGGCCTCCTCGTAAAATTAAAGCTCTACTTCAGTGGTTCTCAACCTTCCTAATGCCGCGACCCTTTAATACAGTTCCTCATGTTGTGGTGACCCCCAATTTCATTGTTACAAATTGAACATAATTAAAGCCTAGTGATTAATCACAAAAACAATATGTAATTATATATGTGTTTTCCGATGGTCTTAGGCGACCCCTGTGAAAGGGTCATTCAACCCCCAAAGGGGTCGGGACCCACAGGTTGAGAACCACTGCTCTACTTCATGTTATAGATTTCAAAATATTTAAAGGACCCCTCACAGCACTAAGGTCTAGGTGTCCCCCTTTTAGAGAAGAAACAAGTTCAGAGATGGGTAGAGTTTGGGTTCAGTCACACAGCAAGTGGGACTGATTCTGATTCCAGAGTCCTGGGAGTCTCTGGCTGGCTGTGCTGGTAATGATAACTGCAAACATTTAGTCCGTTTCAGATGTTGTTCTAAGAGGAAGGCTCTTAACCTGGGCTTCAGAATCCAGGGATCCCAGAAACTCGGAGAGAAAAAATACAGATATTTATTTTCACTAACATCTAATCAAAATTTGGCATTTCCTTCCATATAGATTAAAGTGTGAGCAGTAATGTGGCTTTGTCACCAATAGAAATCACATATTTTTATATTGAATTGCAGTTATTGGAAGTATCTCAAAATATTTATGCTCATAACTACTTCAAAATCATGATAGTTGCCCTGGCTGGTGTGGCTCAGTTGGTTGGGTGTCATTCCATGCACACTGAAAGGTTGCCAGTTTGATTCCTGGTCAGGGCACATGGCTGGATTTCGGGCTCAAACCCCGATAAGGGGGTGTGCAGGAGGCAACCAATCAATGTTTCATTCTCACATCGATGTTTCTCTTTCTAAAAAATCAATAAAAATATTTTTTAAATCATGATAGTTATTAACCCACCGTTAAATCACAGTTTCATAGACTACAGCAACATAGCTGCCATAGATTGGCACCACTGAGCCACATCGCCCGGCTTCAGCCCTTTTTGAGGAGCCTAAAGGTCAAAGTCCCTCCTTGTGAAGCCAGTTTGGGGCCGGACCCCAGGCTGACTCTGAGGTCACATGGGTTACACACCAGTGGCACCGCCCCCCATCAGCCGCCCAGCAGCACTGGCACGCCTGGAGGGCGGGCAGGAGGCAGACAGGCGGTGGGCCAATGGCTGTCTCTGCGCCTCACCTGGCCAACCACGTGGGCCCAGGTATGCTGCTGGCTCCGCCCCGGGCCCAGCCCAGCCCAGCCCCTCCCCACCCCTGGGCTCCGGGAGCGGAAATTCCTGCGCCCGCAGGACGGAGCGGACGCCGATCCCTTCGGGCGGACTGGACTCCACCATGGAGCCAGTGGAGACCTGGACCCCCGGGAAGGTGGCAGCCTGGCTGAGAGGTGGGTGGGGCCGGGGCAGAGTTGGGCTTGAGGGGCTCTGGGACCGGGAGAGGTAAATAAAGAAAAAGGGCCTGCTGAGGCTGTCAGTTGGTTAGTCTGTCACAGAGTGTTTATTAGCGTCTGCCTGTGTCTGGAACTGTGTGAGCAGAGATGAGCCGGGAGGCCGAGGGACCAGAAGGGGTCTCCCATTGCCCCATCATCCCAGGAGGCTGCCAGGGTGGCGATGGCGAGGCGGTGGGTAATGAAAACAGAGGGGCTGGCCCAGCGCGGCCCACACCCACGGTATCGCCTTAATCTTCCCTCCGCCCCAGGGCGTAGAGGGCTGTTATTAAACCCATTTTTCTGAAGCGGAAACTGACGCTCTGAGCCAGGAAGTGATTTGCTCTGGCTTTGGAATAGAGCCTGCCCGACTTCCCATCTCTCCATCCTGAGGCTCCTCGTGTGCGAAGCAGAGCCCCAACCAGATGAAAGGTTGGCACAGCCCCCACCCCCACCCCCCGCTTGTGCCCAGGGGTCTCTAAGGGAGATACCCCACAGGCTCAGTGAGCCCAAATGGATGGGAAAGGTCCCAGATGGCCCACAGACTCAGAGAAGTGGAGACCTCTGACATGCAGGTGGGAGGGGCAGGTGAGTCAGGGCAGGTGAGTTTCTCCTTGAGGGGCAGCATGAGTTCACTAGGCCCAGGCTCAGGGTGACTAACCCTATAACAGCAGGATTCAGGGTTGAATTCAGACTCCCACACTGGGTTTCAGGCCCAGCCCGTCCACTCGGGTTCATGAAACGCACAGAATGAGACTCTCATGACAAGTGCCTGGGACGTGTATGAGGCTCAGTGTGGGAGGCAGCACAGCACATTCATTGTACATGGGAATTTGCTCAAGGGCCCATAGCTATGGAGTAACAGGTTCATGGACTCCTGTCCAGTGCTCTAAATGTCACACAGGGAACGAGGGAGAGCTGCTGATCACACACAGGTTCTCCAGGGGAGGAACCTGGCTCACTTGGAATGGGAGGAATTCCTTCGAAGAGTGAGCAAACTGTTAACCTCTACTCGTATCCGTTTTCCCACCTGTAAAATGGGAGTCACAGTAGTCTCTGCCTTCTAGGTTCGGTGAGGATCAAATTCTGAATATGTTTATTTTTAATCAATTAATTATTCATTTCTTTTTAACCCTTGATCGAAAAATGGTCCTCTCTTCTGTTGGGGAAGGTCATCCTCTTCAACTGAGCATGCAGCTTTGGGAGGGATGCACATGGAGTGGTGAGGGAGGGAGGGGACACCTGCTAGCCAGCCAGATCAGCTGAGTCAACCCTGGGGACCAGTGGGGTGGCAGATGTCGCAGCCAGATCGCCTTCACATCCTGAATGTGTTTACAGCCCTTAAAATTTTGCCCAGCTCATAGGAAGCAGTCAGTAGATAGTCTTCTTGTTTTTTGAGGGTCTACTTTGTGCCCGGCAAGGGCTGGAATTAGAGATGAACGGTTATTTGAAGAGCTCTTGATAAAGTGGGAGAGGCTGATGCTCAGTTGCAGGTGTTTCTGGAGGCACAGGAAGCAGTGGGAGCACAAGAGGCGCCCGCCCCAACCTGGAGAGTGTGGAGCACTTCCTGCAGGGAGTTCAAGGGAAAAGGGAGGGAAAGAGCTGGAAGAGCAGTCCAGGCAGGAGTAGGAGCACCTGCAAGGACCCTGGGACAGAAGAACATTCCAGGGCGTTAGTGCTCCGCATCTGAAGTGTTGAGTTTGAGGGGCTGTGTCAAGTGATGAGACTGGAGAGGCACGGGGCAGCCCGATCTTCCCGGGCCTTGTAGACCGTGGTGAAAACTCTGGCGATGATAATACAGTGCTGTTCCTGGTGACCTACCACAAACCAGGAAATGGGCCAAGTGTTTGACATGTGTCATGTCATTTACACATGATTAGAAGGTAGGTGCTTTTATTGTCACCATTTACAGGTGAGGAAACTGAGGCACAGAGCAATTAAATTACTTGCTCAAGTGCTGACATTCAGGCCTTCCTGATTCCAAAGCTCCATCCATGTTCTTACTCCCCATTTAGTTGACAAGCAAGCATCAGAACAACTGGAGGATTTGTTAAAACCAGAACTGCTGGGCCTACCCCTGAGTTATTTAGCAGGTGCAGGATAGGGCCAAAAATTTGCATTTCTAACTAGCTCTCCAGTGAGGCTGCTGCTGGTCTGGGGAAACTATCCTGCTTCCCAACTCAGTAGCCTCATCTGTGAAATGGGCAGAACACAGCCTAGGTCTCAGGGTTGTTATTAGGAACAGATGGGAGGGGAAGGGGCTTTATGGGAGTGAAGAAATGGTCAGAAAGGCCATGCCACCCCCTGGCTCCCCCTTGCTGACCCCTGCTGTCCCTCCAGGCCTCGATGATTCCCTGCAGGATTACTGCTTTGAGGACTGGGAGCTGCCTGGCAAGTACCTGCTGCAGCTCTGCCCCCGTAGCCTCGAGGCTCTGACCGTGCGCCCTCTGGGCCACCAGGAGCTCATCCTGGAAGGGGTGGAACAGCTCCGGGCCCTGGTGAGTGAATGGTGGCCACACCGCCTGCAGCTTCCACCCACCTGGGGGTGTCTGATGGGCTGGCCACTGCCAGGCGGGTGACCAGCTCCCTCTCTGGCACAGAGTTCCGGGCTACAGACAGAGAACCTGCAGATCCTGACGGAGAGGCTGCTGGAGGGGACCCGTGTCTTCCAGAGCTTAGTCCAAGGCCGCCTGGGGGGCTGTGCCGAGCCCCCTGCTGATGTCCTCAGTGCGGCTGTGGAGCTGGTGCGTGAGGCCCGCACCCTCCTCTTCTGGCTCAACAGGTACCTCAGGCTCCTCCTAACGTACGGGGTTGGGGTGACTGATGAGGGGACCCTTCTCATCCTTGGCCTCCTCGGGGCCCAGGAAAGAAAAACAGAGCTTGGCTCTTGCTCCGATGTGGTGGGGCAGGGCAAAGAGGTTAGTTGGTCTGCTTGGGGGCACTGGGTCACCTGGGTTCCTACCCACCCCACCCAGCTTGTAATCACAGCGGTCATCAACATAGAGAGCTCCTCCCCCTCCACTGGTTGCTGCTTGTCCCACAGGTCCCAGCATAAGTGTCACCTCCTCAGGGAAGCCTTCCCTGTTAGATATTCTCAGAGCTCCCTGCACTTCACAGCAGTTGAAGTTAAATCATTATTGATGGAATTATGTATTTAACTTCTGACTCCCCAGTGCCTAAACAGAGCCTGACAGTGTTAGGTGCTGTGCTAAGCTGTTGAGCTTTATCAATCATCTTTACCCAAAACCCAAAATCAAACCCATCAGAGTAGGTAATTATCCCGTCTCAGATGAGTGGTTCTGTGACTTGACTGTTAAGCACAGTGTGCTAACCACTGTTCCATCCTTCCCCCTGCCAGGCACCTCTTCACCCACTTGAATGACTTCTCGGCCTGCCAGGAGATTGGGGAGTTGTGTCGGAAGCTGGGCCTGGCCTTGCAGGAGGTAGGAGAACCAGGGGCCAGGTTTGGCCCAGGTTGTAGAGACAGATCAGGCAAGAGCTTTTTATAACCTGTGAATCAGCACAAGATCGGGTGTGAGGGCAGGAAGAGAGGTGCCAGCCACTGGGTAGGCGGCAATGGGGGCAGGGGGTCTGCTACCTGGCCAGGGCACCCCCAGGAGTTTGACTCTCAGGAGGGGGAGAGGAGAGGGCCTATGTGGTGACTTCTGGAGGCCTGGTGTCAGGGGGAGACCTTGGGGACGGAACTCTATGGCCTGTAGTTCTGGAAAGGGGGCCAGGGAGTGGAGGCAGGGAGAGACTGCTGGGAACCCACCCTGCCCTCTGGAGAAGGCAGTGCCCCGACTCAGGGAAGGCCCCTGCTCTCACTGCTTCCAGGACTGCCCAGCAGCGGAGAGGGAGAGCCGAGTCCTGAGGATTGTAAGTGTGTGTGTGTTTGGGGGGGTGGGGAGTAATGGGGACAGGGTGCAGTGGATGGGGCTCAGGCTGGGCATTGTGCTCCCCATCCCAGTGCAGCCACGTGACCGGGATCTGCCACAGCATTCTGAGCTGCAGCCCCCAGGAGCTTCTGGAGCAGAGGGCCGTGCTGGAACGCGTGCAGCTGGATGATCCTCTGGTGAGCTCTGACCTCTGACCTTTCGCCTTTTCTTTTTAAATTTTATTTATTGGTGTGTTTTTAAAGAGAGAGAGAAACATTGATTTGTTGTTGTACTTATGTATGCATTTATTGTTTGTTTTCTGTAAGTGCCCTGACCGGGGATGGAACCCGCAACCTTGGCATATCGGGGCAGTGCTCCAACCAACTGAGCTCCCGGCCAGGGCTCACTTCTCACCTCTTGGCAGCCTGGCCTGGGCCCTGAAACATGGTTCCAGGATCCCCCAGATTTCTGTACTGTTATGGCTAGAAGGCCTTTTTCGTACAGAAGTTAAAGGCCCAGAGGACTTTCCTGGGGCCTCACAGTTATTCAGCACCGTCCACAATCCTCAGGTGACACATTCTAGCCCTGAGGTACAGACCTGGAAGGTTAGGGGAGAGGACATGAACTTTTCTGCTTTAATCTCTCCAGTTGGGAAAGCCAGAGCCCCAGCGCTGCCCCTGCCCTGCCCCTCCCTGCTTATCCCTGAGGAGTGTTGCTGAGAATTTCATACCTTAGGAGTCAGCCGCCCCAACTTCCCTCTGATCCTTATTAAAGGAAGAGGCAGAGACCCACAGAGGAGTGACAAGCCCAAAGTCACACAGCAAGTTGGGCAGTGCCAGCTGGGGCCAGCTCTTTCCCCAGTCCTGCCCACCCAGGGCTTTTGTTGCCAGCGGAGGTCCTGCGCGCTGGCCCTGCTGCCCCCACCCCCTCGGTGACTCCAGCCTCTGCTTTCACAGGGCCTGGAAATCCACACCACCAGCAACTGCCTGCACTTCGTGTCCCAAGTGGGCACCCAGGTGAGAACCCCACACCCTTTCCAGCCGCCTACCCACTAGGACCCTTTTGCCAGCCAGCCACGCCAGCCTCAGGCCCCAGAAGGGTGCACTTTCTGAGCCTCACCTCCCACACCAGGTCCCTCCCAACATCCAGCTACAGATCCTGCCTGGGGATGAGATTGTCCAGGTCAACGAGCAGGTGGTGGTGAGTGAGAACAAGAGCGACATAGTGGGAGCGAAGGGGTTACCGAGTAGAACCCAGGGCTGTGGGTCAGGCAGGGACTCTTACCGAGACCAGGGTTGTGGGAGTTGCCTCACATCAGGTGAGTCGGCTCACACAAGCCAGAGCGGCCTCAGCAGAGCCAAGGTGAAGGGGCTCATGGAGGCTTCCCGAGGAGGAGAAGGAGGAGGAGGAGGAGGAGGAGGAGGAAAGGCGGAGGAGGAGGAGGAGGAAAGGCAGAGCAGGAGGCTGAGAGAGTGCTCCAAGGGAGGGGGCTGTTGGGTTGTTTCAGAGCCTCCTGCCCAGCTGACCCAGCTCCGTGTCCCTGTCCCGTCCCCCAGGTGGGCTGGCCCCATAAGAATGTGGTGAGGGAGCTGTTTCGGGAACCAGCCAAGGTCAGCTTGGTGCTGAAGAAGGTTCCGGTGCCGGAGACCCCTCCACAGGTACCTGTCCCCTACCTGCCCTCAGCCGCTTTCAGATTCCTGTTGCCAGCTGAATCACCTGCTTCTGGTTGTTCCCCAGTCCCCTCCGCAGGCCCTGGGCTCCCCACAGCTGAGGGTCCCATCGCTGGCTCAGGACCCACTGTCTCCCAGGTAACAGGCTCTGCCCTGGGTGCGTCTGGTGGGGGAGCTGTGGGCTCATCTCATCTCCCCTTGCTCTCCTCTCCCCAGGGCCACATCTGAAGACGTCTTTGCCTTCAACCTGACTTCAAACCCAAGTCCTGGGTCCAGCCCTGCCTCAACAGGTAGGTCCAAAGTCCCACAATGTGGTGATGCCTTAGGAAAGACATGTGGGGTGCCTGGCTCTGACCCCTGGACTCTGATGCCCCACCCTACTGCCTGGCGTGGGCTGGGCTCATGGACCCCTCGCTCTTCTCCTTCCCTGACAGACTCTGCCTCTCTTGACCCTGAGCCCCTGCCCATTACACCTGCATCCCCAGCCACACTCCCAGCAGGGGGAGCAGAGACTCGTGAACCCCTAGAAAACAAGGTAAGCTGAGGGGCTCATCAGCAAGGAGGGGTGTGGTTCTAAATCCAGACCCTTCTCTAACCCCTGTGCTCCTTTCAGAGTCCTGTCCTTGATCGGAAGAAATCAAAAGGTATGAGACGCACCCAACGTGTGGGGTCCCCTGACCCGAGCAGCTCTAAGAAGTCTTTATAGTGCTGGGCAGAACCCCTCCCCCACCCCCCCGAAACACACACACACACACACACACACTTTACACTCAGCCTCTTCGGGAAAGAGCTCTGTCTCTTGGATCAGACAGACCGGTGCTCCCAGCCTGGGCCCCTCGTACGCTCTGTGACTGAGCTAACAGTTTAGCCTCCGTTCTTTAATTTCCTCGCCTCCACAATGGGGAGAGTCATTCCTCAGAGCTGACAGGGGATTCATTCCAAGCACAGAGTATGGGTTCAGAAATATCAGGGGGTGCTCTCCTGGTGGACAAGGGAGCAATCTGGGGGTCCATGGTGCCTTGCCAGCCCCTCGCTGATGGCTGTGCTCTGCTGCCGCAGGCGTGGCGACGCGGCTGAGCCGCCGGCGGGTGTCCTGCCGGGAGCTGGGCCAGCCGGACTGCGATGGCTGGCTCCTGCTGCGCAAGGTGCCCGGTGGCTTCATGAGCCCTCGCTGGCGCCGCTGCTGGTTTGTGCTCAAGAGACACAAGCTCTACTGGTACCGCCAGCCCCAGGTGAGACCCTGCACACATGCGTAAGCAGATGAGTCACCTCCGGGCCACAGTTCTTGTTCCTACTCCCCACCATCTACTCCCTGTGGTCACAGGTGGGCCACAAACCCTCATGAGCCCCAGTGTTCCTGTCTCTAAAATGGGAACACTCTTCAAAGAGAAATGAGCTGCTGTGTGTGTGAAAGCACCTTTCCTTCCTCTTCTGTTATTCTGTCCATCCTAGTAATAGGCCATTCATTCGATTGCTTATTCCTCAGCAAACATGCAGGTGCCCGCTGTTACTCAGCTCTGGGCTGGGCACCGAGGACACAGGGGAGACTTGGACACAGGGGAGTTCTTGCTACTCCAGGCTGGGGGGGGGGGGGTGTGAATACACGCTCAAGGACAGTGCAGGGAACACACGCTGTGACAAAGGAAAAGCCCAGGGAATAGGGGTGGGGAGCCCACAGAGGTGGCCAGTCCAGCCCGAGGAGCGGCGAAGGCTTCCGGAGAAATCAGCACCTGAGGGTCAGTCGGGCGCAAAGGAGGAAGCAAGCCAGAGGGAGGGCAGCCTCTGCAGGGCTCGGTGGTCCAAGGCGGGCTCCGCCTGTGCCTATTGATGGAACAAATGTGGGAGCAGCCTCCTCTTCTGCGGCTGTTTGTCTGGATCTCCTTGGCTCCCCTTTCCCGGCTCAAGGGCACTCCTTGGTCAGACCCCCCACCCCCTAAATTTCTGCCCTGAGCTCCTGACACGGAGAGGTTTATGGTTAGAGAGCCCAGGAGATGCCCCCGTGGGATGTGGCCTCAGGAACCTGATGACCTCGAGACGGTTGGGGCTTCGTGCTGACCCTCACTGTGATCCCCCCAGGATGAGAAGGCTGAGGGCCTCATCAACGTCTCCAACTACAGTCTGGAAAGTGGGCATGATCAGAAGAAAAAATAGTTAAGTCCTGGGTGTGACGGGCTGGGTGGTGGGAAGAGAAAGGGAGAGAGAGGGTGATGGCAGGGGTGGGGTGGAGGCAGCAGGGAGCTGGGATTGCCGGGGCAGCCTCTCCGGGTTCTAGATGGGCACACCCAGGCTGAGTGAAGGCCCTCTGCTCCCTGGCAGTGTGTTCCAGCTCACCCATGACGTGTACAAACCCTTCATCTTTGCTGCTGATACCCTGGCGGATCTGAGCATGTGAGTGCCACCCTCTCCACTCCCAGACTTCCGCATGAGTGCCTGGGAGCCTAGATTCAAATCTCAGCTCTCTGACAGTGGTTGATCAAGGCACTCACTTTTCTAGGCCTCGGCTTCATTATCTATAAAATGGACTAATAAGAGTTCCTGCCTCTCAGAGTTGCTCTGAAGATTAGATTAGACGATCATATGGGGCAGTGGTTCTCAACCTTCCTAATGCCGCAGCCCTTTAATACAGTTCCTCATGTTGTGGTGACCCCCAATTTCATTGTTACAAATTAAACATAATTAAAGCATAGTGATTAATCACAAAAACAATATGTAATTATATCTGTGTTTTCCGATGGTCTTAGGCGACCCCTGTGAAAGGGTCGTTCGACCCCCAAAGGGGTCCCGACCCACAGGTTGAGAACCTCTGATGTAGGGGAAAGGCCCTTGGCATACAGTACCTGGAAATTCCCTCAGACCCTTTTGCCCCTCCACAGGTGGGTGCGCCATCTCATTACCTGCATTTCCAAGTACCAGTCTCCGGGCCAGGCCGCCCTACCCCGAGAGGAAGGTGGGTGCTCACAGGGGTGGGTCTCACTGTGTCTCACCTGAGCTTCTGCCTTTCCTGGGATGGAGGCTAGGAACTCAAATGCCCTCACCCCCCTCCTGGCCCCCCAAAACCGTGTGAAGCTTAGTGGGTTCCCCAACTGCTCCTGTCCACCCCAGACTGCTACAGTGAGACAGAAGTAGAAGACCTTGACGATGAGGCTGGGTCCCGCTCAGCCTCGGTGAGTCGGGGACTGGTGGGGGGTGAGGAGCAGGGCACAGAGCTCAGACTGATACCTTTCTCACCTTCCACCGTGCCCACAGCCCAGCCTGGGCCAAGCTGGGAGTCCCCCCCATGGAGACACATCACCTGCAGCCACCCCTACGCAGGGCAGCCCACGGACCTCCTTTGGCCTTCCAACAGGTGCTGTGCTGGGGGTGGGAGCTGAGGTGGAGAGCTGGGCCTGGGACAGGCACATCCTCATCCTGCCTCCCCCCCGCCCCACAGACAGCAGTGAGGGGACATTGGAAGGAATGGTGCGGGGGCTGAGGCAGGGTGGCGTGTCCCTCCTGGGCCAGCCACAGCCCCTCACTCATGAACAATGGCGGAGCTCTTTCATGCGGCGCAACCGAGACCCCCAGCTCAATGAGCGAGTGCACCGTGTGCGGGCACTACAGAGCACACTCAAGGTCAGCTGGGGACACGGCATGGCAGGGGGCTGGGCTCTATGCTTTTGGCTCTGGTTGCTGGCCCACAGCTCTGGGCTCAGTTGTGGAGTTGGCCAAGTTCTAGGTTCCTGATTTGAGAACCAGGTCTAGACTGGGCCCGTGCTGTGTTCTAGGCACTAGACTCCAAAATTAGCTCTGGACTCAGGCTCTGCCGCCTTCCCTGGGCGATCATGGCCCCTAAGGGACTCTCCTTACAGGCAAAGCTGCAGGAGCTGCAGGCCCTGGAAGAAGTGCTGGACGACCCTGAGCTGACTGGAGAGAAGTTCCGACGGTGGAAAGAGCAGAACCAAGAGCTCTACTCAGAGGGTCTGGGGGCCTGGGGCGTGGTGCAGGCTGAGAGCAGCTCCCAAGTCCTGACCTCTGGCTCCAGAGAACATTCTGCCCAAGCCCTGTCCTCTGACCCTGAGGAGCACTCTCATCATTGCCACCTGACCCCAGAGAGCAACCTCTGACTCTGACCAGCATCTGGTTCCTGACCTCTGGCCCCGAGGACCACCTCCACCTCTGGCCTCAGGCTTTACCCCAGCCGACCCCCTTCTGCCTGAGTGGCCACCATTTCTGCTCCCTTCTCCCCTGGAGTGGGCTAATGTAATGTGATCTCTGTGCCACCCTCTCCCACCTTGGCAACAAAAGAGTGGGAGGCAAGGCTGAAAGAAACTCTCTGCTGTCCGTCCTCTGACCTGTGGGGGTGCACACCTGCCTCCCTCAGTCCTTTGGCACTTCTCCCTCCCCAAACCGGTCTGTACAGGCCTTCCTGACTTTACACAAGAGACACTTCAACCAAATAAAGTCAATTTCTCTAAAATGAATCCACATCTGTGCTTGACTTCCATATTAGAGTCAGGAATTGGCTCCCCAGGGGGACTGGGATGAAAAACTGACAGGGATGAGCGCTCTTGGTAACTAGCCCACTGGCCTGGGCGGTGCGTGAAGCTCCTGTCCATCAGGATGAGGATTGCTAATCCGTGGCTCACGATGGCTTCTCCTCGTGCTCATCTGTCCCAGCCCTTTAGAGACCAGAGGTTTGCTTTCCTGTCCCATCTCAGGGGAGACAAAGTGAGAGGCTGAGACCAGCCTTTTCCTAGATGGGCCACATACCTTGCATGAAGGGTAGGGTGGGCTCCTGGAGACCAGGGTGGTGAGATGGCATAGCCAGAGGGGAGAGGTGCCGGTTGTAGTCAGCTAGGAGGAAGCCCCTGAGGTGAACACTTTTCTCCTCTCCTTAGCCCAGTGTCACCTCCAGCTCCTGGATTTAGAGTAGGGACATACTCCCCTCCATCCAGGTTGTAGAGGAGACCTGACCTGCTCCGTGCCTCTGACCTCTGACCCCAGCCAAGGTCCGTAGTGTCCCTGACTTTCTCGGTGGGGTTGCAAGAGAATTCAGTGGGAGGAACCTCTCGGGACTGGAATTCCTTGGTGGAATGCAAATGACTGGAGTCACAGAGGCCTCTATGATATCACCACGAGGGGGAGCAAGCCAGCATGGAATAAAGTTTCTTTGAAGAGTGGGAGGAGACTGAGCAACTATGCCGGATAGAGAATGGCAGCGAAGGACTATCAAGTCTATGAGTATCATGGTAGATGACCCCTGCCAGGCTCTACCATTTAATCTGGGCATCCCAGGATCGGGTGGGGCACAGGAGGCCTGTGCTGGGTCCAGCGGGATAGGGGCTGCGCTGATGGGCCCTCTCCTCGCCCTTGCAGAGGTCCCCTCATGATCCCTACTTCTGGCCAGAGGAGCAAATGCTTATCGACCGCAGAGACATTATTGACACAAAGGTAAAACCAAGGTGTCCAACCTCCCCCACAGGGACCCTTCTGCAGCTGCGCCCATGCG